TCGTCAACAGCACGACGTTAACGACGCAATAACCACATTCATATATTGAGCATTTGTCGTTACTTAGACAACAGTAAAAAAAACCCCACCAATATTGTTTATGGCAACTGTTTATCAGCATACACGTTATCTACATGCCTTGTTACCCTTTGCAAATGCATTCTCTTAATCGAGATTAGGATGAAAATGCACGCGGTTTGATTCTGGAATTCTTTGTCAGTCAAATATTCACGAGTATTTTTAAGCATGAAATAACGAGTCATCGTTACCGCTTCCCTTCGCCGCACGGCACAACAGCACCCTCGAAAATGATCGAATAGAACGTTCTGTAAACCGTGATTGAGATGGCAATCGATCTAACGACGCGCGGTTGGCGGTGTGCTCGCAGTGTAAACTATTCAACTATTAAAACTTTTTTTTTTACCAGGTAAGGTCCACTGAGCTGTATATAGCTCTTTTTCAGAAGCGACCTGGCCACATATGATAGCTCAGCGAAGTGGCTAATCATGTGGAAATTTATAGCAGCCAAATACTCTCTACGCATGTTTCTAAATGTGGTGGGGGAAACCGGAGGACCATGAGAAAAACTCACACGACCACAGGGAGATATGACGTGAAAACTCCAAATATAGAGGTGTCAGGGTTGGGTTGAAACCCACGACCTCCTGTATACCTGGCAAGGTAGTTAACATCTCGCCACCGTAAGGTACGGCACCCACCATGTCGTCCTTGCATGCGACGTGGCCATCACGTAGCACGTACAATGATCTCAGCCTTGCACGCATTTGCCTGCTGCTGCGATGATGATAGCCTTGTCATTTACAGAAAGTGTTGGAATTGATTTTAAACAAAAACACGTTGATCAAATGTGTAAGTGTCTAGGAAGTCCCATGTGTAATAAACACCAACAATCATAATTACAGGCTGCATAACCGTAACTTTAAAACAAGGCCGCAAAAACCGTAATCACCATCGATATCCATATTTAGCAAATTTGAACAACTGACAGTTGCAGTGATGCAGCGTTAGGGGACCACAATGCACGGATTCAGGAAATGCCGATGGGTTTATTTTTTTAGTGCATACGCACAATGGCTGTGCGCTTTCCACACATTTTTTACGTCTTGTTCGGAATTTTAAAACACATCAGCAGCGCCGAGTGGGCGGCAAGGAGGATGGGGGGGGGGGGGTGCGGAGCGTCAGGACCATGATCCAGGGATGAGATTTTCTCAATACTACCATGGTTTTGTGTGGAACTCAACAGCGGGATCAGTTGTTTGCAAAATGACCGGTATTTGGCACGAGGAAAAGAGCAAACGAGGCCAATAGGCGTGTTGCAGCGCTGGCAAGTTGTTTTACATCCATCAGAACACACAAAATCCTCAACGCCCGTGTGAAATATGCTTACCTAGCAAAAGCAAATCTCAACATGGGACAGTAGTCTCAGACACATGTATAAATATATGCAACCCACCGCAAATAAACCCAACATTCGTAGACACATTCTACGATCATATGGCAGTATATATTGGAGTATGCATTCAAGTGCATTGAAAGAGGAAACACACGGATCACGTGAATGTGATGGGCCAGGACGTGTCGCTCATGAGGATGATGGGTCAAGATGAATAACGGAGTGGCAGCCGCCAATGAATTAAAATGTGTCCGAAGAGGGCATTCGCCAAGGAGATGGAGCCATGGGTTCGACTTGTCTGCAGATAACAGAGCATTTTAAAAACAAAAGCAACGTTAATAAGCAAAAACGTATGCCTCTGTTAAATGGGGGAAAAATAAAAAAATAATTAAACCGACAGTGGAGCATACTCACACATCAAAAATAATCCACTGGTCGCGAATGCCGCTTTATTATAGTCCGGGCTTGAGTAGTGCACTACTTTATGAACCCAGAAATCGAAGTTTGATTCACTACCACTGCCAACATCAGTGGTGAGTAAGATCTGAACTGGTCCTGGGCAACCAAGCTTCACCCTCACTGACCAGCGTGATGAAACAACTCCCATGAGCGACACTTGTGTGGGCTGGCCTTCATCCAGCAGCGGACTGACAAAAGGCGGCAACTGTAATAGTCTGATGCTTCACATTTCAGGGGATATATACCACGAATATTTTGCTGCGTCAGTGGCAAATATGAACGTGTTTTTTAGCGTGTTGTGACCTGCCCGGTGTATATAAATATTACTCTCATTGCCGTAGATGGGTATTAGCGCTCTTAACGTTGCTCGCGAATGTTCACTCTCGTTCACAGCGAACGCTTACACCATCGTGCAGCGCGATTGCGTAACCTGCATCTGCAGAGCAGTGGCTGCAGACACGTGGCGTATTTAAGAACGACACCGAATGTGGATTAATTCCAATCGAAACCAAAATGAGTACAAAAAATATATATGTTTTGCCGTTGCCGCGGTTATTTTTGATTTTTTTTGTGTGTCAACATTCCCGGTGGTGCGTGGGGCTGCTACAGATGCACGTGGAAGGGTCCCGCAGGTTTGGAGAGAGAGGGCCCTCTGATTAATAGGTTTGCCACTCTACGGTGACATTATGATTTATGGTACAACGCGCGCCCCGCGAAAAAGCGTATCGTCCATCGTTACAAAATACCGTTCCGTTGCGCTTAGCGTTTTTGATTTGTCTCAAACAATTAATTTGCGGCTAAAATATTTAAGGCAATAACAAAATCAACAAATCAAATTGTAAATAAAAAATCTTTAGTATTACCCATTATAAATGAGAGTACCGGACAGGATGGACATTACATGCCATCACTTGTGTTTCAATCATTTTTTGCATTATCGACAGCATGTGCGTTATAAGCGTTAGAGATGGTTGAGTGAAAAGCAGTTGAAACATTTAAATAATCTTACTCATACAGCAAACCACAAAAACAATACAATTGCAATCAGAATTACAATATAAACCGATAAAGTGATAGTTGTCAAACCGTGTTATTGAGATATTGTATCATACTGCTGAAATGATATCGCTGGTGACCCTGCTGATGATTCCAAGCTCGAACGGCCCTTTCGTGTTTTGGGTAGCCTCAAGGTTTGTCCCGGAGTGTGCCACCTGTCAGAGTAAAGCATCGTCGAGGTCACGACCATTCCGTAACGACGACTTCGCCGGTTTTTCGCGGTTTCGCCGTGCAGCTCTGCCACGTGTATTCGGTTGCTGAAAAATCTGCCAGCGCGTGGAGCGAAACGTCGGACATCATGGTGCGACCCGAAATCACTGCGGAGAGCCGTACGGCGCAACCGTGAACACCTACTCGGTAGTTTTAAGATGTTTAACCTTTAGCGGCAACAGTCGAAAGTTATGCATCGGCGAAACACGGCACCTCGTTCAATCTACGGAAACACGTAGGTCAGCGAAGGACGACTAACGGCGATCACCGTACGGAAATAAAAAAAAACGTTCCAGTTCAAAATGTCAACCTTGCTGCTCACGACACTGTGGAGCAGGTGCGATCAAGCACGAGTGCAGCATCCCTTCTCACTCGCGGAGTCAGATTAAATTCCAAGGTCCTGCCCGACACGGTGGATCGACGTGCAGGGAGCCAAAAGTCTCAAAGTGCCCGCAGTGCCAACTATTCAAAGCCGAAGAAGCTCCCAGCAGATAGGAGCGAAACGACGGACACCGTGCCGAACGACGCGCGGTACGACCCTCTAACAGACATTGGGAGGGCTTACGCAGAGCACACAACCGCGAACATCGACAAACTCTACAACGCTCATCGGTTTCCCACCACAAGAGGAGGGTGCTCTTAAAAATACACAACGAACACTCACTCCATCTAATCGCTAATAACAATCGTGATAACTGTGCCGATGGGAACAATCGTTGCTCAGTGAAAACACGCAAATGTGTTCCTTTTCCTTCTCCCAAACGAACCGCGAGGGAGCCGGCGGTGTCCCGGTGCTGCCCGCGGAGTCACCGTCGCAAGGCTCGTGGCCCATGCCTCGCTCCCACCGGCCCCGCGCTCAGAAAGAATCAGCGGCAGCTCTTGGGGGGGTGGAGGGGGGAGGCAAAGCGATCAATCATTCGCTCCGTCTAAAGCACCTCCATCAAACCCGCTGGCTTTATTCCATGCACTTGGATCGGTTGAGGGGGTTTTTGTTTTTTCTCTTACACGACTTGGAAACTGAAAAAGGGCAAGTGGTGAATGTGAAGGTGTCGCTGTTGGCGCTGCTGGTGGAGGGGACTCACCACCAGTGTGATCTCTAGATGGCCCACCTCCACTAGAGGCTACTTTGGTCTACTCTTTCACATTGGCCAGATGTCGTTAGGAGCGGTGTGCGCAGCCACACTTTACCACACCACCAGACAAGACTTGCCGATCCACTGTTGGTATTATAATATTCATGTATACTGCAGGAATCCGATGAGAGGAATCCGATGAGCGATAAAGCTTTTCTGCACAGATGCCCAGTAGGGTTGACGGAGGTGACGGAGGAGATTTAAGAAACTTGCCTCATTATTTCCGAGGAATCGAATTCAGGCGGCAAACCACGACGCGGTGGCAGCGCCAGGTAGTGGGCCAAAATATACGCAGCCCCCTACACAGAGGGCCATTTTTTATGTTTAGATTTTAAGTGATAATTAGGATAAGTGGGCGGTCCAAACGGTCGAACAGATCGCTCAACTGCGGCGCTCACAGCCCGCCGTGCTGGCGCGCGTCGGGAGTGAGCCAAGTCACAAAAAAGTGAATCGCGAAGCGGACATCGCCAAATTGGCAAAAGTGAATCACAGCGCTCCATTGCCGGCGCAAGCGGCAGCAGCAGCGGCAGCCACAACGACGTGCATCGTCGTCGGCATCATCGTCGTCGGCATCATCGTCGTCGTCGTCATCATCGTCGGCATCAACGTCGTCGTCATCATCATCATCGTCGGCATCATCGTCGTCATCATCATCATCGTCGGCATCATCATCGTCGGCATCATCGTCGTCGTCGTCATCATCATTATCGTCGGCATCGTCGTCGTCATCATCGTCGTCATCATCATCGTCGTCGTCATCATCGTCGTCGTCGTCATCATCATCGTCGTCGGCATCATCGTCGTCGTCGTCATCATCATCATCGTCGGCATCAACGTCGTCGGCGGTGCTCACTCAGTGCGCTCGCAGTGGCCGTGTCGGCACTTCGATCGCGCTCGTTGTTGACAAAGCGTCCCAATCATATTGCCGCTCTATATTTGTTTCTTATTCGGAGGCCTAGAACGAAAAATGTGCGCGATCCAGATAAGCGGCCGCTATGTGCCCCCTGTCAAATCTTCGCGATCGCGGCCGAGGGGCGAGATGGGGGTGCCGTGGTAACTGTCCCATGTTTTTCAAGCTGCTTTGTAAACTCGGCAGGACATCGCCGGGGCCCAAGCAAAGCGGCCGTGCATTGATTTCGTGTCGCCCGCGGCCACGGCAGTCCACCTGACCGCCTTACCGCCGCCACCACCACCGCCGTTTTCGGCCGTGCGGCGGTGGATGGCGACCCCGTCGCACGTGGTCATTCCTCGCTCGCTGCAGAGCGACCGGCCTGTGTCACAAGCACGACAGGAACACAGGCACAACCGCGTCAGACGTGACGCCCAAGCCGTCGCAGCCACTTGTGCGCTTCGACTCGTTTGTGGAGCTCCTTGACCCCAGTCCGTTGGGGACGCTCCGTCAGTCGAGGTTTTTCGGGCGCGTCTGAAAAGACGTCAATTTTCGCTTGCGTATCCGTCTTGGGTGGGGTGTTGTTTTTCTCTCAGTTTTAACGCTAAAAGTCGTTTTTCTTTTTACTGGGATTGTATTGTAAAGCGCTGTGAGGCCTGTGTGAATGGCGCTATATGTGTAAAACTAGAGTTTTGCTTACTTACAACTCTTGAAGGTTCTTCGCTCGTCGCTTGTCACGGGAGACGGCGGAGGGGGGCAGTTCCGATGCGGTCGGTGCGCGGATTTGACGTTGAACTGAAGCGGCATTTGAGTCGGTGTCTTTGAGAGAAGCATCACCGCTATCGATCGTGGGAGATTTCGAAGAGCTCACGACTGTCGTTTGAAAGGAGGGGGGGGGGGTGAAGTATTTGCGGATTAATATGCGAAGGGATGTTTCGATTCTTGAAGTGCATCGTCAGTCATGGAGCCGCGTTTGAGACTTTGATTAATTACGTTGTTTGCCTGATGGGAAAAGGAGGAATATATTGTGCAGCTCTGCTTCGTGTCCTCCTCCTCCTCCTCCAGCTCTATGCTCCCTTGCAATCCCCCCGACCTTTAACCTCTCCGCAATTCCCAATCGCACGACCCCACTAGCCGCCTCTGATTTTAAAGCAATCGCCGCAATCTCCACCTTTGTCCCTCGTAATTTTGTAAATAGCGTGACCGCGACCCTTCGGCACAGCCTCATGTGCTGTTTGTAAAAAAAAATCCATACGTGGCTGATGGAATGGCTCTTAGGTGAGAGCGGCTGAGCTGGTACCCGATTAAATTATAGGTTCAAATCCAGGTTTGCGGACGCCCGTCAATAAACCGGGTTCTCAATGTTCTAGTGAGTTGATGGTCTCAGCCGGGTCACTGAAAATTTGCACACTAAATTTTGATACCACAAAAATTTGGTTCTTTCAGAAAAAAGAAAAAAATATCTTCCTGTCACGCGACGATCGCTACAGTCGCGAAAGTGCCAACTCTCTAACGCGTGAGGCAGAGGTCAGCTCGAACGGATCTCAGATACATTTCCGTGATATCTGCTTCCGCGGGGCCATTTCCAAACACGGAGGGTCTCGCCGCTCCACGAGAGGTCTGAACGGTTTCTTGATCTCACGTTCTGACGGCCATAGCACAACTAAAAGCAATGAAAGCGCGCCACGTTAGAGCACGCAAGCGGAGTGACGCTGCCCCTGCGCGCTCCGGGCAGCCCCACCACCACCACCACCACCACCGCCGCCGCTGGCACTCGAGGGCACGGCGCCGGGGCCGGAGACGCCGGGCCTCGGCCGCGCCGGCCCTGCCGGCAGGGGGGACAGCTCCACGACTAGTCAGGTCTGCGCCGTGCTCTGCTCCTCCTGCGGGGACGGCGGCTGGCGGCGAGCCAGGCTCATGACGCGCGTCGTGGTGCCGATCTTGAGCTTGCACAGCGGCGGCACGGAGCAGAACTCGCGGAAGCAGCGCTTGAAGTTCTCATCGAGGAAGGCGTAGAGCACGGGGTTGAGGCAGCTGTTGGCGTAGCCGAGCGCGATGCAGAAGTGCCAGCTGGCGAGCACCGTCGGCGAGTCCGCGATGGACACGAGCGCCCGCAGGATCACGTAGATGTGGATGGGCGTCCAGCACACGATGAAGACGGCCACGACGATGAGCACCATGCGCGTGATGCGGCGCAGGTTGCGGTCCTTCTCCTTGGAGCCTGACAGCATCCGCACGCTGCGCAGGCGCAGGATCATGAGGCCGTAGCATACGGTGATGATGCACACGGGCACGATGTAGGCGAAGACGAACACGCAGATCTTCAGCAGGTTGTCCCAGTACCAGTGCGGGCGCGGGAACTGCACGACGCAGTCGAGGTCGCCTGCGACGACGGCGACGACGAGGGGAGGGAGGGAGGGAAGGAGGGAGGGAGGGACAAAAAAAATCTCACGAAATTGTAACCGATGACGTTGGTAATGGACTTCTTGCCTTGGGAGTCTGAGATTATTTAATGCGTGCGTGTGCGTGTGTGACAAGGAGGCTGATTGGCGATGAAATGGTTCTGCGTCGTATATCAAAGCGCCCGTTGTTGACCGCGTGAAAAGCCACCGGCTGCGTAAATTTGTGACTGCAGACTGAGGAGAATCAAGCAAAAGGATTTGCAAGGCGGAATATGCGGCCAGCGCATTCAACCTAATCCCATTCTTAAACAGGTGTCACCAGGGTTTGAGAATTAAACACGGGATGTGGGCGGCTTGCTCTGGAGGAGTTGGAGGTTCGAGCTGCCAACCGCTGAGATTCTGGATTCCTATTGAGGCACCCGCCCGGTTGTTATAACCGAGTTCTCGAGTCCAGTGAGTTGATTGTCTCACAGCCCGATCAGCAATGACTTCCTAAAAAAAATCCATCCCCTTCAAATTGGATCTGCACTTACTTTGGCTAAATTCCAGCTCCGAGGATATTAAATATCGCCTCTGACTGTCATGCAATTAAATTTACCATGAGTGGCAGTGCGGGTGGGAACATTCCACCCCCGACGATGTGGATTGGAGGTAATTTCATTGGATGTCAGAATTAGTTGTGTCATATTCACTTCTGTGGTCTGCAGTCTGACATGAAGGTTTGCTCTGCTCTACAAGAAATGCAGTTGGATGCTTTGTCTCATGATGTGACATTGATAACACAATTGGAAAAATTGGGCAAAAGATATATATATGTTTTAAAGAAGACAGATATGTTGGCTTTGACTAACGCAAAGCGCCATCGCACAGGCCACACAGCAGTTGAAGAGCCACGCTTCACTTGGTGAAATATTCAATTCCTTGGGCAGTATTTTATTTAACTGATATATCTCATCTGTCAAGATGATGTAAATTATTCATGTAACAGGATCATATTTTAACCGCTCCCGTGAAATATGTTCAACAGTGGAGATAAAAGAAACTGAAAAACAGTCATCTCTAATTTACGTAACCCTACTAGGTACGCGATTGTGGTTACATTTCACAACTATGTTTTTTGATTTAAAGCTTTCGTGACTGCAGTAATTCATATTCTTAGTTTTTTCGGTAAAGTCACGTTGAAGAGAAACAACAAAATAACAAAATATATATAAAACACCTGATGATGACCGTTTGAGTTATGGTCGAAACGTCGTGAGAATTTTTTTATTGTTTTATATATATTTTGTTATTTTGTTGTTTCTCTTCAACGTGACTTTACCGAAAAAACTAAGAATATGAACTATGTTTTTATTTATTTATTTTCCATCAGCCATGCTTTTATTGCACTCAATAGGACTTTCAGCGTAAGTTTCATGCAGGAATGATTTAATATTTTTTCACTCCCACGGGAGCATTCCAATTGGGGCCAGGCAGTTACCAAGTGATATAAACATTGTGTGTGCCCAGAGACGCAAGCTTCTGCATGGATAAGCCACCAACGACCTGTGATGACCTTGAAGCTCACCACCATCAATTATCATCGGCCATGGTCAGGCCACTGCTGGATAAAGGTCTCCCCAAGACGCCGCCACCTAACAATCCACCTAGAAACTCCACGTGAGCAGATTTCACCTGTCATCTCCACGGATGGAGCACATCCGATTAGCACGGTTGGCTACGTACGGTGCAAAGGCAGTTCAACATGCAGACTACTTCCTCTATGACGTGCTCCGTTCCTTGGCTGCCACTCCACGTGTCAATCTTGACCGTGGGCCATCTTTCCATGATGCGTCCTGTCCAAGGCCACTTACTTTTCTTCGTCGTTTAAGGGACGTCATTAAATCTGCGTAATATCTCACAATCCATCATCTTCCCTCTCTCTGTCTCTCAATGCAATTCCAAAAGTACATCGCTCCGTGCGCATGATTGAAGATAAGACTACAGAAAACCCACACGGGTCACCAGTCATCTACTGGGAGATTACTTACGTTCGCGGAATAGCAAAGCATCCGTTACCTACCTCGGGTCTCGTGCGAGATGGGAAATTGTCAGTGAATGGTGGGGGTGTGGAAGCACAGATACATCACTGCTTCCCCAAAACTTGTGTGTGTGTGTGAAAAGCACACGCACAAAACCCTCCCTCGAGCCTCAATGACTGCAGGAGTAAGCGCTTCTTAGCCAGCATGTCAAGTCTGCCACGTTAAGTCTGCTATGAAGGGTGCCAGGGTTGTGAAATGTTAAATACCTCGCCTGACGCCTGCTGTATATTTGGAGTTTGCATATTTCCCCTCGTGGTTGCGTGGATTTTTCTCCGGGTCCTCCGGGTTTTCCCCTCCGCAATTGAGAATCAACGCACGTTTATAGAGTGTTTGGCTGCGAGAAATTTACGCACCATGAGCCACTGCGTTGAGCTCTCATTTGTGACAGCCAGGTCCCCTCTGACAAATGAGCTATACACAGCTTTACCTGGTAAGTAAAAAAAGAATAATAAAGTTTAAATAGAAAGAAAGTCTACATTTTGCCCACCTTTCTTGTTGTACTGCGTGCCCGCCATGATGATGACCGGCAGCCCCACGGTGGAGGAGAGCAGCCAGATGCACACGTTGATGAGCTTGGCGTTGCGTGGCGTGCGGAAGTCCAGGGCCCTGACCGGGTGGCACACGGCGATGTAGCGGTCCACGCTCATCATGGTGAGCGTCAGGATGCTGGTGAACATGTTGTAGTAGTCGATGGAGATGACGAGCTTGCACAGGATCTGACCGAAGGGCCACGTGTCCAGCATGTAGTTGGTGCTCTGGAAGGGCATGGTGCTGGTGGCGAGGGCGTCTGCCAGCGCCAGGTTGAAGATGTAGATGTTGGTAGCGGTCTTCATCTTGGTGTACCTGCGAAGACGGTCACGCGGGGTGGGAGGGGGGGGGGGGGCGAGAATGATTTTTCTAAGTCGTGAAGATGCGAGCAGCATTGTTGTTGTTTGTGTGTTTTTTTTTTGTAATCAAATAAGGTGAAGAGGTAAAGGTGCAGCCCTGAAATTGCCAGCTTATACCACCGCCTCGCCAAAGGGCCTCCACTAAGAGGGAGTTCTATAGACGCCCCCCCCCCCCTTCCTAACGCCATTTTTGGCCTACTCTTCCACGCTGGACAGACGCCGTGGAAGGGATGGAAGCACCCCGCACTTGACCCCACCGCTCGCGACCTGCCGATTGTCTAACCGTGGCGTGCCCATTGATGCCGCCGGGCGTTCAGAGGCGGCGGAGAGGGGAGGGGGGGAAGGAGGCGTTTAAGAGAAGTTACACCACCGTCGTTTTAGCCGCCGTGGCCCGGAGATCGAATCGAACCTCCCGAGCGCTCTGGATTGCAAGTGAGCTCGTTAATCCTCTTGATCCCCTATGGGATATAAGGCTGCTCTGGATTGCAAGTGAGCTCGTTAATCATGTTCATCCCCTATGGGATATAAGGCTGCTTTGGATTGCAAGTGAGCTCATTAATCCTCTTGATCCCCTATGGGATATAAGGCTGCTCTGGATTGCAAGTGAGCTCATTAATCCTCTTGATCCCCTATGGGATATAAGGCTGCTCTGGATTGCAAGTGCAGTGTGCTAACCATTGCATGACGGCAGAATCCCTTTGTATTGAACAGAATTTGCCGTTATTTGTACAACGCTGGACAGTGTGTAAAGAGCATTTTGCATAAATTGTCTCCTCACGGCACACACCACAGCGTGATCCTGTTAGTATTATTTCTTTCTGTTCCTAGCGTGTGTCAGCCTTTATGGAACGATGACGTTTTCAAAAGCTTCCGCGAGTCAAGAATGAACCCGAATGCGTTCGATGAATGGAAAAGAAATCACGAACGGCTGATAGTCTACGGACCCTTGTCATTCCACTCGTGGGCTGAAGGCCTTCCGATGACGTGTCCACCACGCTGGGCCATACTTCACCACGCTGGGCCATACTTCACCACACTGGGCCATACTTCACCACGCTGGGCCATACTTCACCACGCTGGGCCATACTTCACCACACTGGGCCATACTTCACCACGCTGGGCCATACTTCACCACGCTGGGCCATACTTCACCACACTGGGCCATACTTCACCACGCTGGGCCATACTTCACCACACTGGGCCATACTTCACCACACTGGGCCATACTTCACCACACTGGGCCATACTTCACCACGCTGGGCCATACTTCACCATGCTGGGCCATACTTCACCACACTGGGCCATACTTCACCACACTGGGCCATACTTCACCACGCTAGGTCATACTTCACCACGCTGGGCCATACTTCACCACACTGGGCCATACTTCACCACGCTGGGCCATACTTCACCACACTGGGCCATACTTCACCACACTGGGCCATACTTCACCACGCTGGGCCATACTTCACCACACTGGGCCATACTTCACCACACTGGGCCATACTTCACCACACTGGGTCATACTTCACCATGCTGGGCCATACTTCACCACACTGGGCCGTACTTCACCACACTTGACCATACTTCACCACACTGGGCCGTTCTTCACCACGCCGGTCAGTGTGGGGGTTGGCGAATGTGCGGGACAACCCGGGACCGGTCCACGTACATCACTCGTGCAAGCAGGTTTAAAAGCGCGGCGTTGCTTTTACAAACGCTTCGCCCCACAAGCCACAATACGACGCGCTATTAAAATGTTGGGAGGCAATCAATGTGCGACACATTGTCACGTGGGAAAATAAATGAAGACCGGTCATTGTGAACAGGCTTGGGCAGCCTGTTCCTTCCTCTCTCGGGGTCATCTGCTGGACGAATACATTATAAGGTCGCGCTCATTGCACACAGAGTGCTTTCCACTAATGAACCACCAATACCTCGCTGAGCTCATAAATGAGCAGAAACGCGAACTCCGCTCATCCTCGCAGCAGCGGATTTTGGCGAACCTTTGAACGAAGGCGTTTACTGCGTTGCTCGCTTTCAGATGTACTTCTGCGGCCGTCTGGAACGCTCTTTCTTCCGATATTAGGAAGCTACTGGAGCTACGTAATTTTAAATCTAAATTGAAAACGCATTTGCTTAGAACTGCTTTGTGTGTTTAGTTTGTCGTCCTTCGATTGTCACTGTTGGACACGTACGGTGCGAAAGAAGTTCAACGTGCGTACGTACATCCGCTGCTTTTGAATCCTCAGTGGAACGTTGAGTTTGATAGAGAACGTCAATGCTTATTATGTCACCGCTGGAGCGTCCCGTTGGAGCAAAGGCACACACATATCTGCAGGTGCAGTAGAACCCATCCTCACCACGCTGATTGGTTTCACGAAACTGGTCATTAAGTGATTTGTTCATTAAGAGAGCTGAGGAAATACACGGTCAAGGCTTAATTCGTTTCGAAAGTTACCTTGCTCCACCGGAGAAGCGTACTTCATAATATTTAAAACAATGGTATTACATGAAGATACTAACAACATTATGAACACATAATATTAAAATAAACATGGTTAATCGATGCATTAATTAATGTTTACTGTAGATACAACAGCCCGTCGTTAACAGGGGAATGTTGGTAAGCGAACACATTGGGCTCTATGGAGGCACTACACTGTTATACACTATACACTACACTACTATACAGTACACTATACACTACACTACTATACACTACACTATACACTACACTACTATACACTACACTACTATACACTACACTACTATACACTTCACTATACACTACACTATACACTGCATTATACACTAAACTATACACTACTATACACTACACTAAACACTACACTATACACTACACTACTATACACTACACTATACACTACACTATACACTGCACTATACACTACACTATACACTACACTACACACTACTATACACTACACTATACACTACACTCTACACTACACTACACTATACACTCCACTATACACTACACTATACACTACTATACACTACACTAAACACTACGATACACGACTATACACTACACTACTATACACTACACTACTATACACTACACTACTATACACTACACTATACACTACACTATACACTGCATTATACACTAAACTATACACTACTATACACTACACTAAACACTACACTATACACTGCACTATACACTATACACTACACTACTATACACTACACTATACACTACACACTATACACTACACTATACACTACTATACACTACACTATACACTACACTATACACTACACTACTATACACTACACTATACACTACACTATACACTGCACTATACACTACACTATACACTACACTACACACTACTATACACTACACTATACACTACACTATACACTACACTATACATTCCACTATACACTACACTATACACTACTATACACTACACTAAACACTACTATACACGACTATACACTACTATACACTACACTATACATTACACTACTATACACTACACTACTATACACTACACTATACACTACACTGCTTACACTACACTACTATACACTACACTACTATACACTACACTATACACGACACTATATACTACACTACACTATACACTCCAGTATACACTACACTATACACTACTATACACTACACTAAACACTACTATACACGACTATACACTACACTACTATACACTACACTACTATACACTACACTACTATACACTACACTATACACTACACTGCTTACACTACACTACTATACACTACACTACTATACACTACACTATACACGACACTATATACTACACTACTATACACTACACTATACACTACACTACTATACACTACACTACTATACACTACACTATACACGACACTATATACTACACTACTATACACTACACTATACACTACACTATACACTACACTATACACGACACTATACACTACACTATACACTGCACTATACACTACACTATACACTACACTACTATCTACTACACTATACACTACACTATACACTGCACTATACACTACACTTTACACTACACTATACACTACACTATACACTGCACTATACACTACACTATACACTACACTATATGCTACACTATACACGACTATACTCTACACTACTATACACTACACTATACACTACATTGCTATACACTACACTATACACTACACTATGCACTACTATATACTACACTATACACTGCACTATACACTACACTATACACTACACTATACACTACACTATACACTACACTATACACTGCACTATACACTACACTATACACTACACTATACACTACTATACACTACTATACACTACACTACTAAACACTACACTACTATACACTACACTACTATACACTGCACTATACACTACACTTTACACTACACTATACACTACTATACACTACACTATACTGCACTATACACTACTATACACTACACTATACACTGCACTATACACTACATTATACACTGCACTATACACTATCATACACTACATTGTACACTACACTATACACTACTATACACTACACTATACACTACACTTAAACTACGCTATTCACTACACTATACACTACATTATACACTACACTATACACTACTATACACTACACTATACACTACCCTATACACTACACTATACACTACACTATACACTACACATGGGGCTCTATGGAGGCACGTCGTTAAGCGATTAGTCGTTAACAGGGGTGGTCGGTAGGAGGGGTTCTACGTTACACACTTCAGAATATATCAACAAGAACGAAAAGGAAAATGTGATGCATTTCACGGAGTGCATTTCAGACATTTAAACTGTGCATTTTTAGAGGCACGTTTTTAGCATTTTCTCAATAAAATTACCCAACAGGAAACTATTTATCAAGGTACCAAGTTTATCCGAGCGCACACTCACTGCGACTTCGTAAA